TCTTATGGCAATGGATTCACTAGTGGCTCTTTCCGCACCATCCCCACCATGGTGTGATACCTCTTCCATTGGCTGATCCAGGACCCGCTCCAGGTGACGCATCTGAATGCCCACCATGAAGGGCGTGGGGCAGCAGACAGTGTCGAGCAGGCAGTCGGGCACTACGGGGATGTAGGTGTGAGCCCAGGTGAAAGGGTAGAGGAGCGCGGCCACGGCGTGGATGCACTGGGACAGGACGCTGTGGGACAAGGCAGCATCGCGGGGAAGCCCTTAACTGAGGAGGCTTCTCTTTCCATAATTTTTTGGTCCTTCTCCTCTAAGCCATGTCGCGACTCACCTGAGCTCCTCTGCCAGGAAAATGAGCCGCCGCTCCAGGACGGCAGAGGCGAAGATGTGCAGGATGAGCTGGGGGCTGAGCCGCTGCAGCAGCGCCTGGAACTCCACGTGCTCCAGGTGGGCGTCCACGGGCCGCGTGAGCTCGATGAGCTGCGAGGGCAGAGTGGGACCCTCACGCACCCACTGGGGGCCAGTGAGGAGCCGCCCTGCGATATTGCCCGGACCAGCCGCCCGGCATTGCCCAAAATCTACCCCGAGAGCTTGCAGCATGATTAGCGAGGCCCTGCTGCAAGAGATGAACCTGGTCTTGTCCTGCCTGGGCATTCTCCTGAAAAAAGGGATGTGCAGAGCAGAGGCTGTAGGAAAGAAAGCAGGGATCTGCACTGTGCGATTTATTGTGTCGTGTGTGTTTTTTTAACCCAAAATGCCTCTTTTCTCCAATTGCTAGCGAGTTGCTGCTGAGAGATGAGCAGGTACGTGCCAGCATCCGAGCGGTGCCCGAGAGCAATGGTGGAAAAAGTCCCTCAGGAAAGAGCAGGAGGGATAAGGGCAAGACTGGGGCTAGGAAATTTCTTCCAGTTCTCCCCACTGCTGCTCCAAGATGGTGGCCAGCAAAGGGTTAAGAGTCCTGACCTCTCTCCTGGAACTTCTCTGGGTGGGAATTTCCCCTCCTCCCCACCCTGCCCTTGCAGTCAAGCAGCATCATCCCAGCTGCCCGGGGAGCGTATCCGGCCCCCATCCTGCAGGATGCTTCGCTCCGGCCGCTCGTGCTCCGCAGCGCTCGCCTTCCCCTCAGCTTCCCTGCATCTCCAGCGTCTCGCTGCTGCCCAGTGCTCCCGCACCCTGCTGTGCAGCTCTTTCAAAGAAAGGCCCCTTTACTCACCCTCCTTCTCCCGTGCTGCCGGGGCTTTGAGCAACAGGCAGAGCCCCTTGCGCAAGCCTTCCTGCATGGAGAAATCGTTTGCAGTTTGAGAGCCAGCTGGCAAGAACCGGCTCCAAAGAAGGGTCCACGGTTCTAGCCCTGAGCTTCATCTGCCCTCATGGGAGCCCGCTGCCAGAGCAGGTCCCCCTCTACTTTTTCCCACCCTGGCTAGAGAAAGGAAAAGCAAGGAAAAGCAAAGGGAAAAGTGAGGAAAAGCAAAGGGAAACATCTGCAGCCTGGCGTGGCACCTGGCTAGGAGGGCAGTGTGTGGGCGCGATGAGTCCCACGGGCACTGTGCCTTCCTCAGAGCTGCTTTTCCCGGCAGCAGGCTCACTGGATGCTTGCAGGTGGCCACTGCAAATCCTGGGTGCTGAGCTGGAGCCAGCAGGTGCCCTGGCCACGCTCAGCACCCAGGTGCGAAGAAGAAGCTGAGTGGAGGTGAGAGCGGTGCCAGAGCCAGCAGCAGCGAGTGAAAGATGGGGCTGCTCGTAGTAGGGCTTTCTGCAGCATGGAGAGAGGTCTCGGGACCTTCTGGAACACAGCACAAGTGCTTGAGGCCAAAGCAGTGGCCACCCTGGGAAAGCGTGGCATGTCCCTCGCTGGTCTGGCTGGTAGCACTGCTGGGTCCCATCCTCATCCTCACTGCTTGCCAACCTCTTGCCATCCCAGGCAGGAGGTGGCACCTGTGTCCTCTGGGCCAAAAGGTCCAAGCTGCCCAACCCACCACTCAAAGCTACATAAACACCCAAGGATGAAAGCCAGGGTTGAAAACCAGGGTTGAAAGCTCTCTGTAAACACCAAGGGTGCTGCAGACACCAAAGATGCTTCTGGAGATGGCCCTGGCCATCCTTGCTGGAGCAGCCCGGGAGCCACTGCAACACACTGAGTCCCCAAACTCCCACCAACCTCTGTGCCAGACTCAGGAATGAAGCTTTTAATGGTGACGGTTTTCCCCGGGGCCGGGAAGGGCGATTCTCGGAGGCCCTGCATGAAGGGGTAGATGACGGCCATGGAGATCTGCCGCCTCTTCTCCACCTCATCCAAAATCTGCAGGAGGCAAAAAGGGCCTGTTAAACCCCAGCAAGCACCAGGCACGGTGGTCCTTGTGGCTCCTTGGGCCACCACTGTGATGGAGGAAGGAGCCACTGTGTCCCTACCTTGGAGAAGAGCCCGAAGCAGCCCAGGCAGCTGATGATGCAGAAGACCTCGGGGAGGCGGGTGCCGCGGCCAGCTGGCTGGAGGAGGGAAGAAGGGAAAAGGGGTTTTAGCCTCTCCACAGCACATGTGACAGCCCCGCTGTGAGTTCCCAGCCACAGAGGCATTCCCAAGTCCCCCAGCTTCTTCTCCAGTTCATGGGTCCCACCTGCAGTCTCAGGAAATTTATGGGAAAACAACTGGGGAGTAGAGCAAGCCCTGCTTCATGAGGACACAGACGGCTCTGACATCGCAATGGGGAAAAGAAAAGACACCCATCACACGCCAGGGAATTTTCAGAGCTGGGACTCAGGCCAAGGATGCCGTCAGTGCCGTGAAATCATTGGATGCCCAGGTCCCAGATAAAACAATTTAGATGCACAAGCTATTAGTCATTTTGATGCAAAGCCCATTGGCAGATCCCCATCTTTTCTCCCCCAGACACACGTCCTCCAAGGCCTCCTGCCCTGCTCGCCACCATCCCCTGGGCTGATCCTGCCTCCTACTGAAATGGGGACCAGCGGGATAAGCTCCTGGGAGATTGTTTTCCTTTCCAGCTGGATTCTCCTGCGATCCTTCCTCTAGTTTTCCTCCTGCACCCCCTTACACTGTCTTGGCCCCATACTGCTAATTTTGGGTCACTCCTGGGCTATGCAAATACTGCAAATATTGCTTTCCTCCATCCAGCATCAGGCCATGCTTTTGACTTGGGAGAAGGGACCATGTCCCCTGCACGGGGACAGGGAACCCAAGGGCAGGACCCTCACCAGCAGCCGCCTGCAGTATCCGATCTTCCGGCTGCCATCCACGTTGGTCAGGACGAAAGAGAAGGTTTCACTGCAAGGGGAGAAGGGGTCTGGTTTTAGGGTGCTGCTGGGAGAAGGGGAATCCCGGGGGCAGCCCCGTCCATCCTGGAAAGTGACAGCCGAGTTGAGGCGCCCGCAGCAAGGCCGGTACCTGGGGAACTCCGTGACGGGCGCCCAGTTGTTGCCGTCGGGGAAGCAGAAGAGGGGAATGGCTTTCAGGAGACGTTCCTCCTCCTCCTTCTGGCCTTTGAGCAAGTTCTCACGCTGGAATGGAGCGATGACCTGGGTCAGGGTGGCAGAAGGTCCCCTGCACCCCGGGGCACGTCTGGTGGCCCAAAGCCACCCCTGACTCAAACAGAAGCAGTGGGTGGCTGCACAGCCCTCCCTCTCTCCCCCCGAAAGTCCAAATTCCTGGTGGCTTCATCTCATGGATAACACAGCCAAGCAGAATTCCTGCAATGGACCTCTCCAGGAACGGGGTCGCTCTTTGGGGCATCATGAGACCACAGAAAACCAAGGGGAGGAGTTTTTCTCTTGGGGTTGGTGGCCCTGAGCTGGGACAGCAGGGAGGAACCATCAGAGTGATCCCAGCCCAGGGCTGAGTTTGGATGTCCAGCTCCAGGCCATAGGGGTAATTTTCTGTTCCCCTTCTCCCTGGCTCTAGGAATGGGGAAGAAGCAACCTCCCTGTTTTCTCTTAACCTCAGAAGACCCATGTCCCAATCTCCAGTAAGCCGAAAACAGTCTTGCGGCTCCTGCAAACATCTCCATGGCTTGTGGACAACTCTGTACACCTCCCATGCCAAGATACCTTGGGGAACTGGTAGGAGATCTTGGGTTCGTAGCGGCCATCTGGCGTCTTCTTCAGCGACACCACCACAAGGTACTCAAAGAAGAACTGGCTGGCTGAGTAGAGAGCAGAGCTGCGATCCCCAGCCTTCTCTGGGGACCCCCGCGAGGGTTTGTTTTCGGCAGCTGGGGACTCTTCTTTTCCTTCTGTAGCCAAAAGAAAAGAGACCCATGGCCTGGGTGGCATCAGACACCTCTGAGCCTTTCGTCACCCCAACCGAGTGAAGGTGCATGGGATCCCTGAGAGCAGCTGCTCTCTGGAGAAGCCACTGGAGTTGTGGGAATGGCTTTTGAATTGCTAAATGCATTTTCTCAGGTCAAAACACTAGTGATCAAAGAGCCCAGGTCTTGCTCCGACGCCTCCAGAGGCTCCAGTGAAAGGATCCAAACCCTGCCAAATGCCCTCAGCCCTGGGAACTGCTGCTTGCAAATCAGGGACTCAGAAGGCTTCCCAAAGCTGCAGCTCCCAAAGCAATGCTGTTCCCTGAGACCACATGGTATTTCTTGTTCTGCCGGTTGGGGAGGGCAGCTGGGACACCTCAGCTGCCACAACCCGAGAAACGAGGAAGCCGAATACAAAGAGCAGCCATCGGGCATCTCTGAAGACCGCATGGAGACCGCAGCTAGGTGGGACCTGACCTGTGACTGGGCCTCACTGCAGCCCTTTCCTCTCCCAGCATCTGCCTGTGACTTTCTTCATCTGCAGTTCCCAGTCCTGAGCAGGTCCCAGGCTCAGGCTCTCATTATGGCTGGGAGCTGCAATGGGAAGGTTGGAGGTCCTAGGAATGGTGGCATTCTCTAGCTACAAGAGTGATATGCTCCCTACGGCATTCCATCCCAGGCGGGAGCTCCCTTCCCGAGGAACAGAGCCGCATTTCCCAGCTGCATTTCCCAGTGCTTTCCCAATCCAAGGGCCGTGCATGGAGCCGCCCACAACACTGTTTTGCTCCGAGGCCGCTCCACCTCAGTAGGCAAAGCCGATCCTCTCAGCAAGGCAAAACTCCTCCTGGAGAGCCGCCTTGGCTCCCCTCAATCGTGGATCTGCTTTGCCGGAACATCCTGGTTCCTGCATTCCTGGCATGACGGGGACATGTGGGGCCACGCAACACCCTGTGGCGTTGCACTGGGCTAAGTTGGCACCAGCACTCAGTGTTCTGTGCCCACAGGTTTCCCTGTCTTATCGCACCACGAGGCTGTGGCTGCTGTGGATTTTCCCCTCTCTCCCCTGCCGCAGGCGGCTGACAAGGGCAAAGGTGCTGCAGCGTCCGCCTGTGCCATCAGCTTCTCAGGCGTGGGGACCTGTTTCATGGTGTGGGGCAGAGCCCCTGCCTAGAGGCTCCACGTGGCATCACGGTCTCCAGCCCCACACGGCTGTTTGCAGTGGGCAGGAAACGACTCGAAAACCGGGCCAGTTGTTGTGAGGTGTTTGGGTTAGAAAGTCCCCAAATGCCCTTTCACTGAAATGATCCATTTCCGCCCTGTCCTTGCCATGGCTATGCTTCCTGGGGACACAGCGCCCTCCTGGTTGCCAGCTCAGGCTGGATGATGGCAAGTCCTGCTGGGCACGTGGTGGCCCACGGGCTCTGCCGCCAATCCGGAGTGTCCTGCAGGGCCTTTAGGGATGTGCAGAGAAGGAGCTGCTGCCCCAGGGCATAGGGCAAATCCCCCCTGGGGGCTGGGATATGTTCCCAGGGATGGGGAGCATCCCCAGGAGATGGGATCCCACCCTAGGAGGGAGTGTGCTCATTTGGGACAGGGGAGGTTCCTAAGGAGTGGGTGCACCCGCAGGGGGCCAGGTGCTGCCCCAGGGCAGGGGGACCCCACTCATGCTCAGGAGTGGGGGTGAGGGGAACCAGCTGCTGCTTGG